GGTACTGGCACAAAAGTGGACATATAGACCAATAGAATGGAAGAGCAAGCTCAGATAAATCCATGTATATATAGTCATCTGATCCTTGACAAGGGGCCACAATGGTGAAATGATTGTTTCTCCAACAAATGGTGTTGAGAGAAGTGGATAGTTAGATGAAGTTATATTATTAAATATAACCAAAAAATCAACTCAGACTGTGTTGGAGACTTAAATTAAAAACCAGAAACTAAAACTTTTAGAATAAAATCTAGGGAAAGAGCTTCATTACATTGGTCATGACAACAATTTCATGGACATAACATCAAAAGCACAAGCAACTGAAGCAAAATTAAGCAAACGGAACCCCATCAAACTAAAAAGCTTCTGCCCAGCAAAAGAAACAAACAAAATGAAAAGGCACACTGAATAAATGAAAATTTATTTGTAAAGCATATATGTGATAAGGGGTCAATTTCTAAAAGGTACAAAACATGCTTATAACTCCATAACAATAAAAAAAATTTTGATTTAAGAATAGGCTAAAGACCTGAATAGAAATTTCCCCAAAGAAGACATGGAAATAACAACAGGTATATGAAAAGATGTTCAACATTACTTATTATTATGGTAATGAAAATCAAAAGCATAATTAGATATCATCATACACCCATTAGAATGGGTATTATCAAAAAAAATAAGAAAATGTTGACATGGATGTAGAAATATTTTAACACTTGCAAACCACTGGCAGAATGCAAAATGATGCACCTAGTATAAAAAACAGTATGAAGATTCCTGAAAAAAATTAGATATAAAACTACCACATGATGCAGCAATCTTACCTGGGTGTATATTCAAAAGATTTGAAATCGGGATCTCAGAGATATTTGCACTTGTGTGCTCATTGCAACAATCTTCACAATAGCCTTGATGTGAAAACAATCTAATGACTATTGAAAGATGAATAAATTAATAAAATATGATAAATATGTGCAGTGGAATAAATACGTACTACTCAGACTTAAAAAGAAAAGAAATCCTGCAATATATGATAACATGTATGAACTTTGCTGACATTATGCTAAGTGAGACAGGCCTGTCACAGAAGAATAAATACTGAGTGGTTATATTTATGTAAGTCATATAAAAGAGTCAAACTCATGAAAGCAGAAAGTAGACTGGTGATTTCCAGTGGTTAAGTGAAAGGGGAAATAGGGAGTTGCTAGTCAATGAGTATAAAGTTTCAGTTATACAAGATGAATAAGTTCTAGAGATCTGCTGTACCACATTGTGCCTGTAGTTAATAATACTGTATCACACAGTTGACCTTTGAAAAACATGGGATTTAGGGTGGCTGAACCCTCACACAGTTGACAATCTGCATATAATTTTTGGTTCCCCAAAACTTAACTACTGATAGCCTACTATTTATCAGAAACCTTACCAATAACATAAACAGTCAATACATATTTTGCATGTTATATGTATTATAGACTTTATTCTTACTATAAAGTAAGCTAGAGAAAATGATGTTTAGAAAATCACTAGGAAATATATTTTCTATTCACTAAGTAGAAGTGGGTCATCATAAAGCTTTTCATCTTCATCTCTTCACATTGAGTTGGCAGAGGAGGGAGGGAAGGCATTGTTTTTGCTTATTCTAGGGTAGCAGAGGTGGAGGCAGTGGAGGAGGTAAAAAGGAAGACAGGAGAGGCAGGTACACACAGTGTACCTTTACAGAAATACATCAAAATCGCTATTTGACTTTATTGTTTAACCGTTTCTCTAAAAATGTTTCTATATGATACCAATCCTTCTTCCACTGTTTGTTTTTGTTTCCGTGCCCACATTACAGAAGGTTCCTTCTTGTAAAATATGTCAAAACAGTCTTAAATAATCAGAACCCTTCTGCCATATTGTCTAATGTCAATTTGCTTTTGACACTGATTCTTTCATATTTTTTTCTCATTAACTGAGACTGGTTCGGAAGCACTTATCTTCATCAAGTTGTCTTCTGTTAATTCCTCTGATGTGGTGCCAATTAGCTCTTGAATGTTTCCAAGATCCATATCTTGAAACTCTTCATACCTTTTTTTGGCCACATCCACAATCTCTTAATAATTTCCTTGAATGATTGTGTTGTGAATCCCATGAAGTTATGCACCGCATCTGGACACAGTTTTCTCTGGTAGAAATTTGTTTTCTTCTTGATGGCTTTTGTAGCTTTTTCTATAAAGATGATGGCAACTACAGTGGTATAATCCTTTCAGACTTATATAATGCTCTCTTTATAGGAGTTCTCTTCCACAGTACAGTACTAACAGTCCTTTCTATAGTATAACATGTGTAACGAGCCTTAAATGTCCTTATGACCTCTGGTCTATAGGCTGAATTAGAGACATAGCTACAGAATTTTTACAGCAGTAAAATATGAACTACAGTTAATTTTATTCAGTTATGACTTAATACTGTATTTTTACTTTTGTTTGCATTTCTCTTGACTGCAAATGGTGTCATGTAAAATCTGTAAGAGCTTCTCTGTGTAAAGTTTGATAAATTTTAACTTTTAGTAATAGATTTGTGCATATTTTATTGTAGCAAATGGTAAAATAGTCTAGCATCTATATATATATATATATATATAATTTATTCATGATATATCTACTTCTTGACTTTTTTCCAATTTCTAAGCTGTGTAGTTTATCTTCAAATTTCTTCATATTGTCACAAACCTCAAAAAATGTTTCCAATACATTTATTGGAAAATTTATGTATACGTAGGCCTGCACCGTTCAAATCTGTGCTGTTCAGAGGTCAACTGCACTTTTAAAAATCTGTTAAGAAGGTAGATTTTAATTGTTCTTACCACAATAAAATAATAAGAATTAAGAAAACACATGCACATGGAAAAACACACACCATTGAACTTCAAAGCACAATTAAATGGTGCCATTACTCTGATTCATAAGGAAACTCACTGACATAAAAAAATATTGACTTGATTTAAAACTACTTAGAAATAAATTATTTTCCAGTATAGACAAATCTTATTTTAAAATTGATTTATGTGATCATATTCTTTCATAATCAACAACACAGACAGAATTCAGGAAATGATTGGTTAAATTAGTAACTCCATATACATGCTAAGTATTTATTTATCACTTGTCAGAAATATAATGATGACTTTTTTGGTTTTTTCAGTGGTTTATATATGGGAACATAACCTAGCTAGATATTACCTGACAGTGTTTCCTTTGGTTAACATACCATCTTAAAAGTTGGAAAACTCTTCATAAAAAATCTTAGCTCTTGGATTTTCTAGAAAATTAACCAGAAGGTCTTTTCAATGCTGGATCCGAAATTCTGCATGAAAAGTACAGGCCAGAGCTGGGGAACACCCAAGCTTTCAGGTGTGTGGAGAGAGCAATTTACTAACAACTCTTTTTATTCTAGCCATCAAACCCTAATTTCCTGTCTTTGACACTCTTTACTCATTTATGTTATCTCTTTGGCTTGTGTAGGAATTGAAGTTTGCAAAAACATACTTTATAATAAGTTCACTTAATGTTTCTCACTGAGTAGAGAATATGTAATAAGATCTGAACAGCCAGGAGTAGAAATTGAATCACCATGAATTCTAAAATGCTGTAATTATTTCTAAACAGAGTGGAGAGACTGCGGAACTATTATCCTAAAGACCTAAAGCCCTTCACCACTTATTTCATACTAATTGATAAAAGCAATTATGAAACTGGAAGCAAATGACTAAATATAATACACACAATGTGTAGTTATAGTAAGTCACATGTCTAAAATGGAAAATATAAAATATCATCAAGTATTTTCTTTAGTCCTGGTGAGATAGAAAATCATATTTGTTTATTAACAAACACCGATCAGTTGTTATTTGTTAAGACATACACCATTCTGTCATGTTCTCAAAAACATGATGGGTAAGTACACAAATATTTACAGATTCATGTGAGAAGGCTACAATAAAGACAGCTCTTGGTGATTAAAAGGGGCACAGAATTTGAGACCTGTGAAAAATGATTAAGGAAGGGTTATCTGAGAAAAGCCACATATTGAAACAGACCTTTAGAACTATGAAAATAAAAAAAGAGAGAAAAGTTTTTCCAATTTTAAATAAAGGGAAGTGTGAGATTATGGGGCACAGAAATTCAGTCAATCATTACATTAAAGTACAGATATTCAGCAAGAGAGGGAATATAGGGAACAAAATGTGATTAGAAATAAGATGATGAGACCAGCATTTGATAAGCTGAGTTTTAGATAGTTAAAAAAATCTAAGAGAAAAATGAATAAGTAGTAGAAATATCTATTTTTAAAAAATTATAGAAAAATATCCATTACAATTAGTAAATTACATAGAAACACAATAAAATTTCTTCTATATCATTTTAAATTAAAATTTTGGATTATAATTATGATTTATGATTTGTGTTATAATAGGTACAAAATCTTCAAATGCTATGACATTTTGCATTTTTTTTCTGAAGAACAAAGTTACATTATTCACACATTTCTGCTACTTCCTGTTTTTTATTTTAAATGTGTATGTTCTTTTCCAATTACCTACTAAATTTGTTCTCTTTTCTCATCTACTTATAAATGTCCTTCATAAACATTGCAGTCCTCTCTTAGTATATATACTAGGACGTTTGTTCCAGGACAACTCATGTGTACCCAAGTTCATGCAGACCCAAGTCCTCTGGTTGGCAGTGTGGAAACTACCAATAGAAGTAAGACCTCCATATGGGTGGGTCTTCCCCTCGGTTTGGTTGCACAAAAGATAGACATAAGTGAACAGCTACAGTTACAACCTGTGTTGTTCATGGGTCAACAGTGTATATTAACAGTATGATTTTGCCTGTATGTAAGGTTTAAATATTTTTCCTATCTGTTTTTAAATCTATTTTCCTAAAAAAATTACATTTTAAATAGATGTGATTAAATCTATAAATTTTATATTTTTAAACTGTCAGTATTCTTACCTCTTTCTACTATCTCGGATGGTGTTCTATTGAGTGATAACATTTGATTAATTAAACAGATTGATAAGTTTGATGTTGAAGGTGTAGTATTGCATATAACCTATCCAAACCCTCCTGTACACTTTATATCATATCTATGTAACTTCTCATACTTAATACAATGTAAATATTATGTAAATAGTTGTTATTCTGTGTTGCTTTTATTTGTATTATTTTTACTATTGTATTGCTACTTTTTAATTTTTATATTTTTTGAATATACCTTGCATCCATGGTTGGTTAATCCATGGATGTGAAAACTGTACATACAGAAAGTCACCTACATGTGAAGATATGTTCCAGAAAGACTAAAGATGAGATTTGAAGTCACAAGATTCAAGAAACAGAGGTAAGCAAAGAAACCAAACTGATAATGATGCTCAAATAACTGCTGTTAAACAGCTGCAAAGTTTATCAAAAATATGAAGGATCAGTTTCTTATAAAAGGAGACATTCAGTGAATTAAACTTTAAAACTAACATTCTAAATCTAAAATCCTTGATGATCTCATTGAGCCTGAGAGGTGAAAGAGTGAAGGACATCTAGAGTGTATCTCTGAATCACAAACATTTTGAATTCATTTACAGAGATAAGTCTTACTTTGACAATTACTTTTAAAATATTCTTTAGTTAAACATATTGTGAATACAGTTAGAAACAAAAATCATATAAATTATTTGCGGTTTATATAATAGACATTTCGGAGGTCCCTCTAAATAATTAGAAAATGAAAAGAAAAGGGGAAATTAGCAGAGACTATGAGCTAGAAATACATGACACAAGAATAAAAATTTTCAATTATTATATATAGCCACTATTTTTGCAGAAATACAAATTAAAATGAAGGTAACAAAGTGATATCTTCAATGTTCCAAAAGAAAAAGACTTTAAGCCCCAATTATGTATGCCGTTAAACAGTATAATGTAGTGTAGGTTCCTCCTAGGCAGTCCCTTCCTCCTAAAACCATAAGAACTGTAGTCCTCCCTCAACCTTTCTTCACACTGGGGCACCTTGAGACAAGGGGGGTGAAGCATCACAAGGGATTAATTTGCAAACAATGAGTTTGTGTAGAATTAGAGTTTTTCAACACCCTTACAATAGACATTTTGGGAAGGGTTGTTCTTTGTTAGTAAGTCTGTTCTGTGCATTGCACAATGTTTACCAGCATCCCTGGCCTCTAACTAGGTACCAGTAGCATCCTCCCTTCCTCAGCTTATTTATGGCAACTAAAGGTCTTCAGATATTGCCAAATTGCCCATGAGGGACAAATTTACATCTCACTGAGGGTCACTGGTGTAAAGCATGTATGAACAGTTTGTTTTTTAACATATGCAGGTATGGTTAGAAAAAAAAAAAAAAAACGACACTACCTACCTATTTCAAAGCTTCCATCAATTAAACCAGCAAGAGAAGAGGATGTTTCAAATCTCCTTTCTATGTGAATGTTGGACATTTTCATAAAAATTCCACCTAGTGCTTTAGCAACATAGCTGAGTGACAGGACTGCCAAGAAGATCTGAAAAAAACCAGCAGAAAGTAAAGAGAAAAGAGGTTAATAAAAAACTATGTAGTGTTCATAAATACATGGAATTAAAATACCTTTTTATCTTTACTTAAAAACATGAGTTTTATTATAAAAATAATTTTGTTAATAATATTTATTATAAAAATAATGCTTTTCATTATAAAAAGCATATGCATTTTTTCCCTATTCAAGGGAAAGGGATAATATCCAAATAAGTAAGGAAACACCAAATAATCCCATTGAAAGGTGGGAAGGGAAATGCAAATTTAATCTGCAATGAAATATTACCTTATTCCTGCAAGAATGACCATTATTAAAAAGCCAAAAAACAATACATGTCAATGTGGATGTCATAAAAGGAGAATGTTTATATGCTGATGAGAATGTAAATTAGTACAACCTCTGTAGAAAACAGTATGGAGATTCCTTAAAATACTAAAAGTATATCTATTATTTAATCTAGCAATCCCACTAATGGATATCTATCCAAAGGAAAAGAGATCACTATATAAAAAAGACACATGCACACATATGCTTATAGCAGCACAATTCATAGTTGCAAAGATGTGGAAATTGCATAAGTGCCCATTGACTAATAAGTGAATAAAGAAAATGTGGTATATATACACCCTGGAATACTACTCAGCCCCTGAAAAGAACAAGATAATGTCTTTTGCAGCAACTTAAATGGAACTGGATGCTATTACTGTAAGTGAAGTAATTCACAAATGAAAAACCAGACACCATGTTTTCTCATTTATATCCAGGAGATGCAGGTCCTAATGCACAATGTCAGGCAGAGTTAGATAATAAACTTTGGAGACACAAAAGGGTGAGGTTGGAAGGGAAGGTTACAACTAGTGTACATTTGGCAAGTGCAATGAAACCTCAGAATTCACCACTATATAATTCATTTATGTAAACACATAAAACACTTGTACCAAAAAGCTGTTGAAATTTTTAAAAATTTAAAAATAAATTAAAATTCACAGCTGTTATACTATTGTTTGTTCTTTTCAATACAGTTACATGTTCCAGGTCAGCCTCTGGCAATCACTGCTTTCTATATCTACGTATGGGTTTGGGATAACAGTTCAGCCTTCAATTCCATGTGTCCTCCAGCATAAAATTAGAGTATCTCCAAAGTCATGCTCAACAGAGAAGCTGAGTAAAAGAGGTAGAGCTGATTAGCTTTAGGCATTGTCTTCCACAGGTAATTCCCTCAATATCCCTGCAGCACTTGATTATAATCTTCCCACGAGCAGTTTCTCATTCAGGAGACTGAGAAAGTCATGGATTAAAAAAAATGTTTGGCAAAGTACAGAGAGACATGGTTTACCGGTGTCTGGTCTTCACCTTCAGGTTCATCTTCTTCACCTCTTTTTGACCTTCCGGGGTTTATAATAACTGATATTTGTAAAGGATGCAAAAGCAGGCAGTCCTTTCCTGTGCTCATTACTATAAATAGTAACTATCACAACTAAGTAAATGGGAACACACAGGAAAAAATATCAAGAATATTGAGGAAAATAAATCCCTTCAAAAGAGAGAGACAGAGACAGAAAACAACTAGTATGTAGACATCATAGAAGTATATGTTTTAGAAGACAACAGGAACTTAAAGTAAATATAATAAATACATAATATATAAGGAAAAATATTATCAAAATGAATTAAACTAAAAAGAAAAAGTGTGAAGAAAAACACGGCAAGAAAAAATGTTGAAGTCTTTCAGAAAGGAAAGCATTATACTTTTTAACAGTAAATGTGACTGTACAAAATATTAATAATACTTTTAAAGTATTGATGTAAGAGAACATTAAACCTGTAATTTTAAATTTAGCCAAATAGTCATTCAACTATAAGGAAATATATTCTCAAGCATATAAGTTGTCACAAGTTTGGCATGTAAAGATTTACACTGAAATCAATTTTGGAAGAAATAAATAAAACAAAAATCCAAAATAGGTGATATTGTGTGAGATTTGTAATACAAGGTGAATAAAATACTTGGTAATTTTGTTACTATCTTTTAAAAAATAAGACTAAAAATAGAAAAGAAGGGAAAATAAGTATAGTACCTAAAACTTAAAACTGTAGATTGAAAATCCAGATAGTATTAGGGAGTACAGAGGTTAAGAGGGGATATCAAAGAACATGAGCACTTGTGTTTTATTCTGTTTGCAGCTTCTACTGAAAACACAGGAAAATACAGCATATAACAAACCTGGGAATGTTATAAACAGCAAAAATTTACTTGTCACATTTCTAGAGACTGAAAATTCTGTTATCATGGCACCAACAGATTTGATAGCTGGGGAGAGGATCATTTTCTCACTGTACTCTCACATGCTGGAAGGGGAAAAAGAGCTCTCAGGGCCTCTCTTATAATGATACTAAGCCCATTCTGAGGAGTCCGATTTTATTACCTAATCAATTGCCAATATCCTTGCATTTGAATGGGAGGAGGGCACAATATTCAGACCATAGCAATATGCTAGTTTGCTTTGTTATAAAAAAAGATAGATATATTAATTCAAAAAGTATAAGAAAATACTAAAAGGCAAGACAGAAGGGAGTAAATTGGCATAATATTCAAACATAGTAGAAACAAATCTGAATATATAAATACAATAAATATAAATGGACAGAATTTCTAGTTTAAAGATAGAGATTTTTCAGTTTGAATATTTTCTGAAAAATCTAAATACATGCTTTTTGTAAGTGGTAATTCTAAATTGTGAGGAAGTGTTGATGATAATAAACCAATAAGAAATGTAACCATTGAAAGAAAACCTTTTAGCTGTATAAATAATAGCCCAAATAGACTTATAGAAATATCACTATGGATAGAGGTCTTTACATATTGATATAATTAATCACCATGAAAGATAAAATGATTATAAAATAATAGTCAATAGCTGCAAAATATATAAACAAAAATCAATAGAATTATTGCAATTAGAGGAAATTCCAAAGTATGCATTTTTCTCAATTATGATAGGTTGCTAGTCAAAATATTAGCAAGGACATAGAAGATCTAAATAACACAATAAGACTGACATCTTAAACATATGTAAAATTCTACATCCAACAATTCAAAAAATATGCATTTTTCTCAAGTACATAAGGGAGAATTATAAAACTTGATGATATATTTGGAAATAAAAAAAGTCTCAACAGTACACATGGACACAAAGAAGTGAATAATAATGTGAAGGCCTAGTTAAGGATGGAAGGTACAGGGAGTGTGAGAGCTGATCAAGTATCTATTGGGGACTATGAATATTACCTGAGTACTAAAATAATCTCTACACCAAACTATCATGACATACAATTTATGTATGTAATGTAACAAATGTATCATGACATACAATTTATCATGATACATTTGTTATGTATCATGACATAACAAACTATCATGACATCAATTTATGTATGTAATGTAACCGATGTAACAAACCTGCACACGTACCCACTGAACCTAAAATAAAAGTTGGAAAAAAGTCAACAAATTTCAAAAAGTAGGTATCATACAGACAATATCTGTCACAGTGCAACTGTGGTAGACATTAGTAGAAAACATTTCTGAAGAAAAATCCCCACACATTTGAAGAAAAACCTTATTTTTAAATAACTTGTGTATTAATGAAGAAATTATAATAAAATTTTAAGTAAAAGTTTAGAACTGATAAGATGTGAGATAAGTAAATGCTATTTTAAAAAAATATGTTGAAACTTCTGGTTTCCGGTCCTGCAGACAAGGAAGTTGGAGAGTGCCATTTTGTCCTAACCAGAAAAACACTAAACTGATTGAAAAGCAATAACTCTTCTTGGAGTCATAAAAGAGGTGAGGACACATGGCAAAACACTGTCTCCGAGATTGAAGAGGCAAAGCAAACACAGGGAGTTATAAACTGACTTTCTGAAGCAGAAACTCATAATCAGAAACCACATAATAAACAATGCTAGGCAATAAATAAATATCTGTACTATAATTGAATTGCTGGAATCTCAGTGTGAACAAGTCTGAGAGCTAAACACTCCAGGGGGACCCAGTCAAGAGCCCCCTTTTTATGAATGTTCTCTCCAAGGTTATAAGATCTCAACCTGGATCTTATAGTAAATGTTGGAGAAAAAAAAAAATCCTCTCATTCCATTAGTGTGAAGGCAAGAGGAAGCATTTTGAAATAAGCCAGAGCATTCTGTTCTTAACAGGAATTATAGGACTTGCCCTCAGGAAAAATTAGATAATTGGAATCTCATAAGCTCTGGTGTTATCTGAACCTAAGTAACCTGATGTAAAGGAAATACCCGACTTCAGCTAATCCTAAACTTCCATATGAAAGAGAAAATTACCCAACTCCAGCCCACTGTAGCCATTCTGTTCTGCCTAGAAGGAAAACAATTAAAACAAACAAAAAAACAATAACAACAAAAAAACAAACACAAGAAGCACTTATGAAATTTACAGTCCAGAGGTAGAGCTTCATTCATAGACTGATACCTAACCATGGAACTATAGGATGCCTCCTCTCCTGACAGTGCCTTATGAAGACATTTTTAAAGGCCTCTGCATCGGGGTTTTTTTTTTTTTTTAATCCAATACATTCTGCCTCACATTCAAGAAAATGTTACAAGTTACCTAAAAGGCAAATAACACAATTAGAAAAGATAGAGCAAAAATCAGGACCAATCTCAGGTATGGCAAACACACTGGAATTATCAGATTGGGATTTTAAAACAACTGTGAGCAATATGCTAAGGGCTGTGACAATAAAAGAGACAGCATATAAGAACAGTTGAGCAATTTAAGCAGAGATAAAAATTATAAAAAAGAGCCATAAACAAATGCTAAAGATCAAAACACTTTAGCAGAAATGAAGAATTCCTTTGATAAGCCATATTAGTATACTTGACAAACCTCCAAAAGG